CAGACGAGCGTCACTATCAGCTGCAGGGTATTCTGATCGTAACCGAGTTTCATCTGAAGCCGGCCATCGACGGCCATGGGCAGAGTATGCGCCACACCCACCGTGGGCAAGTGGTGTGCAGCGGCATGTGGGTGCGTGTGCGGTGGCGGTGGTGGCTGGTGACAATGATGGTGGTGGCTCGCCGTCGTTGTGGCTTGTGAACCGGCTGTTGCTGCACTGGCTGTGTTCGCGACGTTCGGTACCAGCCGTTGGTGTTGTGGTTTATGCTGCTGCGTTGAGTGCTGCTGACACGTTCCGGCGCCGCCGCTGTAGCCACGTTGCTGCACATTCGTTTGCCGAAAGGTGCGCGCGCCCCCGGTGGTGGCGTGGAAATCGGGCGAACCGGGCGATGTTATTAAAACACTCGGCTTGTCGCAGTGGATGTCGATGGCATCGGTTGCAGGTGCTGTTCGAAGAAGGTGGTAAGATTGAAAAAGTAAGTATGTATTAAAATCGGTTTTTCTAAATAACGGTGTAAGGCATTACAGAGATTTTTCGCTAATAAACTAATTTAACAATTATATGCGTTAAGTAAACTTAATACGCCAATCATGATTTGTTTTTGGCTGCAAACGCACTCAATAACCAGTTAGTTTAATGTGATAAGTGTAGGACTGGTAAATCGTGGAGTAAGAAATTAGATTTTCATTCTTTTACTTAATATGCAAAAAATGTTCACTATAGTTTATTCATTAGCTAATGATCAAGTATTTTTCTATATTTGTAAATATATACAAGTACACCCTGTTAAAATAATTTAGCTTGATCTGTGTACCTTTTCGTGAATAATAACGTCCGCCGCTGCTGACCACAGCACTGTTAGCAATGGTGCTTGTGAGATTTTGGCTGTTCAAGGCGGTGTGCGGCTGTTGATGGCCAGCAGCTCTGCGTGCTGCGTTGCTTCCTGATACTTTGACGGTCAAGGGACGTGAAACAACTAATTCCACCTGTGCATCCAAGCGGCTTTCGTCGATTATCTGGTAAACTTCGTCCGCGCACTTATTCCGTAGCGCTCGACCGTTCCATTCAATGATTTCGTCGCCTGATCCAAATGAAATATAAATGTAATGTGAGAGAGATGCATGCGTAAAAGAAACAAATACATGTATCTAGAGATAGATATGTATGTATGTATGTAGTAGAGTAACAAGGGAGTGGTGATAGTCTCAGGTTCAAAACATACTGGAGCGACGGGAAAAGCATGACCAGAGCATCGATTATAAACGTGTATGCATGTACGATTTGCTCTTCACTATGCGCGCTCCCATTGAACGAGCACGTTTATAAGTTCCCTGCAAGAACAGTGACTATCATTTGACAAATCATTTGAGTGGCAAGACTGATAGAGATTTCTGTCACTGCACTGTGGGTACCGCCATTGGCCAAAATTAAAAAAATCAAATGTCATTAATCAAGAATTCGAAGTGTCGATAAGATTGTTCACACTCCCGCCAAACCAAAACCAAAATAAAAGTTAACGGATTCTTTTTTTTCATTCCTTTATAGCCATTCAAACTTCACATATAATTTAACATTGAGCTCGCTTATCGGTGCAGTTTTTTAATGGAGAACTTGGGAAAGTGATAACTTTTGTTAAGAAAGTGTGAGCAATATTAAATTGTTATGGATATTAAACAAGAAGGTGAGTACTCTCTAAAAACATACATTTTATTGTTTAATAACTTAAAGCGTCAATGTAATAGCACCCCTGCGCGAAGCACTTTCTGTCATTTTTTTTTAGCTTAGTCTAAAGTAAATTTTAGATTTAGATGGTTTGCCTCCGAGTGCCTTCTACAAATTCGGTACTAAAATGAAGAATATTGTTCTACCTTTTCATACAATAAGGAAGTTTCCTCCCGTTTTTTCCTTTTTCCGAGTTATGATAGATTAAAGCAGGGGTGTCAGTTATGATTCTTGCTTGAGCAACTTTAATTCGTTATCACTGAAAGCCTTTTATATTTATTTATTTATATATTTTATATTTATATATAGGTGCTGGCTATCAATGCGTAATTACACGCAATTTTTTATTTGATAAATGGCTTGAAAGTCGAAAAAGTAATACAACATGGTCAACTCAAGCCAACCAAATCCTGGAAAACATCAAATGCAGTTGGCCTTATCAAGGTGTTGAGATTATTGAATTTGATCCCCTCAATGACCGAATTTATTTAGTATGCAAGAAGTTAGCAGAATTTTGGAAAGAAAATGCAAGCAGAAAAAATGCAATTATGAGAAATCATTCCTCTTGGCTTGGCAAATCTGAGACTGTCTTTTTAAGTTGTCGTGATGAAGATTATCCAAGTACATCACAACAACGAGGTCGTCCTAAAAAAAGTTTTGAAGAATGTTCTTCGCGGAGTAAACGAAGACGTGTGGCTGAAATTTCGAAATCCGACGAATCAATTGCCACAGCTTTGCGTAATAGTTCATGTAATTCGAATTTGGGAGAAGAAAACACGATGAGTGTAATGCCTTGTGAAGTACTGGCGCTTTTTGTGGAAGCAAAGTTTACAAAGAAGCAGTACTTACTTGTTCAGAATTTCGTCAACACCAAGATGACAAAAATGCACTGCCTAGCTACAAAATTATAAAGACTGAAAAAGAAAACTGGTATCCAGAAGCCGACAAAATTAGTGTCACCGAGACAGCTGCCGAAGTGGACTTACAGGCTTTACTTAACCACACGGCGACAAGAATTCCTACTTCGCAGAAAGACGTTCTTGACACTCTCAACAATGACTTACATAAAAGCCTACAGTTAGTAGGGAAATGGGGATTTGATGGAAGTACAGGCCAAAGCGAGTACAAACAAAGCTTTCATGATCCTTATGCTAAAGACAGCGATTTGTTTGTTACAAGTTACGTGCCATTGCAGCTCAAGTTAAAAAATTACAAAAATGAAGATGTTGTTTGGAAAAATCCTCGACCGTCCTCAACACGATACTGTCGCCCATTAAGATTTCAATTTAAAAAAGAAACTACTGCTGTATCTGTTTTTGAAGAACAATATTACACTGAAAAAATAAATGCCTTGCAGCCTTTAACTATAACTATTAATGATAAAGAATGGACAGTCACTAACAACTTACGTTTAACTATGGTTGATGGAAAAGTGTGCAACGCACTTAACAAATCTACATCTTTAAAATGTTACATATGCGGAGCGACACCAAAGGAAATGAACAACATTGAATTATGCCTTCAAAAAGAGGCCAATGAGAACAGTTTATGTTTTGGTTTGTCCCCGCTTCATGCTTACTTCAGATTCTTTGAGTTTTTTGTTCATATTTCCTACAGACTCAAAATTAAGAAATGGCAGATAAGAGGTGATGACAAAACAGAATTTGAAAAACAAAAGAAAATAGTCCAAGCTGAATTCAGAGCAAAACTAGGATTGATTGTGGACAGACCGAAAACGGGAGGAAGTGGTTCGTCAAATGATGGCAATACAGCCAGGAAATTTTTTAACAATACCAAAATTTCTGCTGAAATAACTGGAATCGATGAAACACTGATCGACAGATGCGCAACTGTTTTACAGGCTTTAAATTCAAGTTATAATATCGAAGCAGAAAAGTTCAGAGTTTTCGCCTTAGATACAGCTGCACAGATAATTGAAACATATCCATGGTACTATTTGCCTGCTTCAGTTCACAAAGTGTTGTTGCATGGTGCATCGGTGATTGAGCATCATGGACTTATTTCTATAGGCGAGTTAAGTGAGGAAGCTGCAGAGTCCAGAAATAAGGACATTAAAAATTACCGACTGAATCACACAAGAAAAATGTCTCGGGTTGTCACTAATAAGGACCTTTTGAATAGACTTCTTTTAACTTCCGACCCACTTATTTCAAATGTGAGAAAATTGCCTACTAAAAAAAATGCATTAAAATTGTTAAAAATCTAATTTACCAAACATGTTATTTTTGTGAGAATTTGTTTACATTTTCGTTTTTATCTTGTAAGTTAAAACAAATAAAATTAATAATAATAAGTGTTTAATTAAAAAAAAAAGCTTGTGTTATATTTTTGACCGCGTTTTGGGCGGCAATGCATTCATTTAATTTATTTTAACATTTAAGTCTATCCTACTCAACTGTCAAGTGTCAATATTTTGGTCCGATTTCTGAACAATTGTATACGCTATTTTATCCTTACTAAAAACGGTGTTCTGCCAATTTTTTTCAAATTTCTCTGAAAATTAACCATTTTATTCATATTTTAAATTTAAGGATATATGGGAGGTGGGCGTGTTCTTGGTCCAATTTCAAAACAATTTCATACGCTGCTGTATCTTTACTAAAAACGGGGTTCTGCCAATTTTTTTAAAATTTCTCTGAAAATTAACCATTTTATTCATATTTTAAATTTAAGGATATATGGGAGGTGGGCGTGTCCTTGGTCCAATTTTTTCGAGTTTTTGTGGATAATTTATTTATTTTTTTTAAAAGTAAGCCTGCAAAATTTCGTTGCTCTAGGTAACCTCCTTCTATTTTTGGCCGCCATCTCTATGAGAAGGATCCACTGTGCACTGGCTACAAACAAGTTTCTATCAAATTCTAAAGGGCAGTGTAAAAAATCTGATGTAAACATTTGTGTACATGTGATCTTCCGTCTTCCTCAAACTTATGTCCTTATTTAATGGTCTCTTTTTAACCAACGCAAAATTTGCAAATGTGTTAGTAAGATAAATGAGAATGTGTTAGTTTCCATCACACAATTCTTGTAGGGTTATAAATTGTAACTAACGCTTTTCTCGCCGCTCCAATATGTTTTTAGCATTAGTGTATAGAAAGCGAAAATAATTTTTTGCTTACTTTAAGCTAACCCTAAGTTTTAATCTACCGGAAACCGGAAGCTCCTTTTAATCGTTATTGTATTGCTGATGGAAAGCGCGCGATCAGGGAGATGGAGGAGGTAGAAATTATCTTTTATTAAGAATCATTTATTGACATAGGCCACATCAAGTTACTGCCGTCCCTAAATTGAGCGATTAGCGTTGCGTTTTATTTGACGTTTTCTTATTTCCTCTCGTTTTTTCCTCAATTCCTCTCTTACTTTTTGTCCTCTCTCTTTCTTTCCACCTTCTACATGCAACTTCAACACGAAACGATGCTTCATACAAATTGTATGTGCATGAGGTTTTTAGACAGTTCATTGACGCTTGACGCGCCAATTTAGGGATGGCAGTTATCTACGCACTTCACAAGCCTGGTGTGCGAGGGTGAGAGAAATGTGAGGAATGCTGATAAATCTTTGTACCACGTCGACGTGCTCAGCCAATGCTTACAATAAAGGTACCACCTCTGCATGAACTTAAGCAGAGTCCATGTTTGGCTTGAAGGTCGTAGCGGGTGGAGTGTGTGCGATGGGTTAAGCATAGAACCCTTGACCGTGGTTGGGAGTGCCAGCAAAGTATTACTTTAATAAGTTAAGCGAGGGGATATTTGAGAATTGCTTATAAAATGCATATCGCCTTATGCATACGTGTGCCTTGGTGTTCGCTGAATTTAGTTTTGTACGGGAAATTTGCAAATAGACAAGAAGCGTTAAGAATTATGACTTAAAGAGGAGAATGGAATTCTAACGTCTGATTTCCTGTGCCGATCACTTGATTTGAATCCCATTAAAATATTTTTAGGCTAAAAGTCGGATCTCTAGTAGGCACCTTACCTATAAAAAGGAATTCTAAACTGATTGCATGAGCTTATGGGACATCCATTTCAAAAAGATGCGAAGTCATTGTTAAGGATAACATTTTCTATACTTAAAATTGAGCACGTCCCATTCGCTTTGTGAAGATCCTAAGGGGTAATTTTTGTTATCTCAAACAAATAATGGAAATATGCTTTTAGAGTTAGATTGTTTTAGATGTTTAGATGTTAAAGCATGCAGCAATTAATGGTTTTAAGAATAATGATTTGGTACTGAACTCGAATATGGTTTTGTTGCCGAGAGCTTGTTTTTCGAAAGTATCACTTTCAAGTCTCCAATCGCGCATACGAGCCTGTTTTTGAGGGAAATAAAACTAATAAAATTTAGACGTAATATTTTATTTTATTTTATTTTATTTTATTTCATTTCATTTCATTTCATTTCATTTCATTCCATTTCATTCCATTCCATTTCATTTCATTTCATTTCATTTCATTTCATTTTATTTTATTTTATTTTATTTTATTTTATTTTATTTTATTTTATTTTATTTTATTTTATTTCATTTTATTTTATTTTTTAATTTTATTTTACAATATGAGTTTGTTTTATTTTATTTCATTTTAGTTTATTATTTTTGTTGTTTCTTCTCTTGTACTTTATTTTATTATCTTTTATTAAATTAAGTTTGATTTGATTTATTTGAAGTTGATATGATTTAAGCTAATTTAATTTTACTTAATTAATCTTTTGTTTGCTGCATTGTCGGCCGTTGTGGCGTAGTGGTAAGCAGTATGCGCTTTCACTCCGCAGGACCCGGGTTCAAACCCTGGTCAAAGCAACATCGCAAAAGGATATAGAGAAAAGGTTTTTTCTTAACAGCGGTCGATCCTCGGCAGGCAATGGAAAACCTCCGACTGTATTTCTGTCATGAAAAACAGCTTCTCATAAAAAATACAATTGCCGTTCGGAGTCGGCGTAAAACTGTAGGTCCCTCCGCTTTGTGTGACAATATAAAGGCGCACGCCACAAGTCGGAGGAGAAGCTCGGCCAAACACTAACATATGTGTAAGCGCCAATCTATTATTATTATTAATTAATTTTTTGTTTGCTTTACTTTTTTTGTTTTGTTTCGTATATGATTTTAATTTCTCTTATTTAAATTGATATTTTAATATTCATCGACTCTCTTCTTCTTCTTTATTGGCGCTGTAACCGCCTAAGCGATTTTGGCCGAGTCCACGCCAGTCACTTCTCTTCTGTGCTAACTAACGCAAATTGGAAATGCCAAGTGAAGCCAAGTCCTTCTCCACCTGGTCTTTCTAACGCAGAGGAGGCCTTTCTCTTCGTCTCTTACCAGCATCGCGGCCCGCGTTGAATATTTTCAGAGCAGGAGCGTTTCTGGCCATTCGAACGACATGGCCAAGCCAGCGGAGCCGCTGAATTTTAATTCGCTGCACTATGTCTATATCGTTGTAAAGCTCATACAGCTCATCGTTAAATCGTCTGCGATATTCGCCATCACCAACGCGTAAAGGTCCGTAAATCTTTCGCAGAATCTTTCTCTCGAAAACTCCATGAGCCGCCTCATCAGATGCTTTCTTTGTCCATGCCTCCGCACCATACACCAGCACATGCATGATGAGTGACTTATAGAGTGTGATCTTTGTACGACGAGAGAGGACTTTACTTCTCAATTGCCTACTCA